AATTTAGCATGTCATCAATTTTTCTCACGTGGATTTTCCACGTAATTTAATAAAAAAAAACAAAATGAGTTTTTCGTTAATTAACCTGCCACATCAGCCAAAATTTAACGGAGGGACTAAAAAGGGGTCGGATTTGTAAACAGTAAGGACCAAAAAGGGGATTTTTTCGGTATAGGGACCAAAAAAGGACTTTTTCCTATAGTAGAGGGACCAAAAAGGGTATTTAACCATTCAAAATCAATTTTAAACAAAAAAGTACTCTTCTTTCTCTTCTTTGCTTCATCGACCAGCTCATTTGCAGTAACAACTCCATCCATTAGCTGCCTACCGCTGATGAATGCCATCTGTTGCTCTCCAATTAGCCCGTCAAGTACCTTCTTTAATCTATTAGCAAGTACCTTGGCCAAGATTTTGTAGATAACGCCGATGAGCGAGATAGGTCTGAACTCCTCGATCTTCTGCGGGTTGTCCACCTTTGGCACTAGGACAATAAAAGAGGAGTTCAAACCCCGCACCATTTTGCTATTTTTGTGGAACTCTTGTAGGAAATCAATGACATCCTCCTTGATTACTTCCCACTCACTCTTAACAAACCTGAAATTAAACCCGTCGGGTCCCGGCGCTTTCGAGCTGTCGCATTCCCATATTGCTGCCTTAATCACGTCAGCAGTAAAAGCCTCGATGAGCTGTCTATTGTCTTCGGGTTGCACCTGCTTAAAACAAACCCCTTCCAATTTTGGGCGTTCACCTTGCTCCTCCTTGAACAAATTTTCATAGAATGTTGCTATCTCCTCTTTCAATCTACTCACTTCTTGGATCTGTGCTCCTCTAATAACTATACTATTTATTTCACTCCTTCTCCATCTGCCCTTCACACAATTATGAAAGAATTTTGTATTGGCATCCCCCTTAAGCAACCACATCTTCCTTGCTTTTTGGTGTAACATGCTTTCTTTAATTCTAATGTTTTTCCATAAGGTTAGGGTAGCATCCCTTCTGCTTTTGATGTCTTCTTCTGATAGTTGAACTCTCTCACCCTTCAAATCAACTCGGTCTATCACTGTCGCAGCCATGTTCATTTTACTATCAACTTCAGGGAGTAGATTTTTGCTCCACTTCTTTAAGGCCTCCTTTGTCATCTTCAACTTTTCTTTGAGCCGAAATCTTGCCCAACCTTGGATGTTAGTATTACTCCAGACTTCCTTTATCAGCTCTTTACACCCCTCCTGTTCAAGCCATGCATCAAAAAACTTAAAGGGCTTAGGACCCCAGTCTACTTTATTATGTTTAAGCAACAGTGGACAGTGATCAGAGACTACCCTGCTTAATCCCCATTGTCTGACCTCTTCCCACTTTTCTAACCATCCCCCAGACAGTAGGAATCTGTCGATTCTGCTCATTGAATTGCCATTAGTTTGATACCATGTATACTTCCTGCCATTAAGTGGTAGATCTATCAGTTCCGTTTCATGGACAAAATTGTCAAATTCCCTCATCTCTGACGTTACTCCTCTACAACCATTCCTTTCCTCTGCTCTCCTAACTGTGTTAAAGTCTCCAACCAGACAAATGATTCCTCCATTCCTTGATACTAAATTTTTTAGCTCCTCCCATAATGCCCTTTTCCCTGCTAGATGACATGGAGAATAGACATTGATAATGATAATGGGAATATTTTTTGGCTTCCACATCCCTTCCACACCTAAGTAGTTTTCTCCCTCTAACACCCGAATCTTGCTAATAGCTTTCTGATCCCATAAACACAATAACCCTCATGACCTTCCTACTGAGCCCTTAGCAACCCAATCAAACTCCTCTGAACCCCAGATTGTTCTACACATCTTTCTGTCTACCACACTTAGCTTCGTTTCTTGCACCACTAAAAAAATCACCCTTTCTTTATTTACTAATTCTTTAAGGTGTCTCTTTTTCCCAACACCCCCCAGCCCTCTTACGTTATGCGAAAGGATATTCATGGGTTGGGGACACTAACCTTCTATGCCTTGCATGCATTCTTTGATGTCTCGGCTTCCTTAACTTTCCTGTCTCTTTCTTCCATCTCCTCAAGGCTTCTCACAACTGACTCCTCATTCTCTACTGTTGCCCCTATCTTTTTAGCAAAATCCCAAAGTTGCTCTGCCAATTTCCGATTTGATTGACCCACCAGTAGTCTGTTGCGGTTCTCAATTCCGCTATCTCCCAGTGACCCCCCTGCTACTGAATTGCTGGTGCAAGCTATGAACTCCGGAATGCCCTCTGGTTCTGTCACAGCCTGTCTCGGTTTAACTTTGACTCTGCCCCTTTCCTTCTGGTTCATCATTCCTAGGAGGCTAGCTCTTTGGTACACGGATCTGCACAATTTTGCTCTCTTCCTGCTCCTTGTCTTCGCTTCACTCCGTTTCTTGTCCATCTTCGCCCTCTCCGTTCCTCCCTCACTCCGCTGGCTTGTCCTGCGTGTTGATGAAACTTCTGCGTTGTTTCCTTCCTCTATTTGCCTTTCTAACCCGTGTGACTGCTTATTAAGGCCTTCATCTGCTAATCTCATTTTTGAGCCCTTTTGAATGTTGTCGCCTATAGCTCCTTGGGCCCAATGTGTTTCATCCGACCTTCTATCTGCATCACGTGCCTTCTCTGTTCGGCCTTCACCAGTTGGACTCATTTTGCTGCCCATTTGTTGGTTGACATTAGAGGCCTTACAGGCCTTATCTTCTTTGCCCGAGGCGCCAGCTACACTGTGGTACTGGCCCGAATTAGCCTGCAAATCCGCTCCATTACTTTCTGGGCTTTCAATAGGATCTGTTGTTGTCTGATCCTTGTAATTTGAATTTGATTCAAGCTTCCCGCTGTCAACTCTACCACCTGCTTCTGACAAATCTTCTCCCACATTAATGCTATCAGCTACCATTGCCACCGACTCCTCTTCTGCAATCCGGCTCAATGATCTCTTATCAGTCTCTTTGTAACGTTCCCCTACATAGCTCTTTTCTATTGATTCAAACCTCTCCTCGATATCCGAGATATCTACCAACCCTTTGTGTCTCCAGCTGCCATCCCAGCCATCCTCTCTGTCCTCATCTTCTCCGGCTGAAGGCTCCAATTCACCACCGTGGTTGCCACCATGCTGTCCTTCGTCCCAATCGCTTACTTCAGACCAATGTTCTTCAATTTCCGAGTCACTTGCAAACTTTGGGATGAAGTCCTGTTTCAGTGAGAACAGGCTATTGGTCCATTCCTCTTCGGAGAATTTTAAACTGAATAATTCCCCATTCACTTTGATTTGCCTCCTGACTGAGATTGAGTCCATGATTGGCGTTGAGATGAGGAATCTTGCTATATCAAATCTCCTCTTATTGCTTGTGCTATCGTCCAGACAAATAAATTTGCCCCAAGCTGATGACATTCTCTCAAAGAAATCTGGACCCCATGCGTGTAGCGGTGCTCCCTGGCATCTTACCCATACAAATCTCTCTTTTGCCACCTCTTTTGGAGACCAAGGCTTCACCTCTGAAAACCACTGGCCTAACCAATCTGATGCACCCTGCACTAAATCTACAAGTTCTCCCTTATCCTCACAATCCATGAGAACCAGCTTGCCTCCCATAGCACGTAGCCGGCATGTGAAATAACCTTCCATGTAGAACTTTTCCTGAAGATTTGGAACAATTTCCACAGAGTGGGCTATTCCTACATAACACCCCTGCAGCCACTCAAAATCTTCGTCTTTAACTTCAAACTCAAAGCCGGACCATTCCTCTCTTCTACTTTTCTCTCTCCATGTCTGACTCCTCAACGGCTGTCCGTTTCCTTCTGTTTTCTTGAGGTTCCTTTGTACATCTCATAACTATGGTGGTATTTGATTACCCTCTGGTTTCCTTTCCTTCACTCCTACACGCCCGCCAGCTACTTCAGCATACGATCTGTTCTGGGTAGTGTTAGCTATGGGTGCTATTCTGTTTATCTCCTTCACTGCCACTTTTTCCTCTGGACACTTAGCCACATTCACCCATATTTGCCTTCCTTCAATCCGGATCTGATCTAGTTGTCTCTCCAGATCCTTTTCGTTCTTGACATCCAAGAACCTGACAAAGCCGAATCTGCTCCCACTCTTATTCCTTTTCATCGGGCTGTAAATTTCTATCACTCTTCCGAACTTGCGAAAGGTTGACCACATATCTGTGTAACTCCACTCCTCAGGGAAATTAGTGAAGAAGAAGGCTGTTGCCTGTCTGTACACCCCCTTATCGTAACCCCTATCTCCCAGCATCTTCTGCTGCCTGCGGTGTCCCACGTATCCTCCTGCATCTGATCTCCTTGTGTAGCTGCTTCTCCCTTGTAGTCGTGCCGCCTCTCTATCCAGTGCTGTCCGTCCATCCCTTGTTTGATATCTGCTTTTCCGATCCCAAACTCTTGTCCTTCCTCTCTCTCTCATGTCCAGTGCTCTCAGGGATGGTTATGTTCTGTCTTAAGCTAGTTTTTGTGTTGCAAGTCTTTCTTGTTACATCATGGTATATATGGTATTGGAGGAATTGTAGAGTTTTCAAAGGAGATGTGGCTCTTAGGGAGGGATTGTTGGCTATGATACAGGAAAAGACTTTCTTCTGGATCAAGAATAAAGTGCAGGGGTCTGTATTTTCTGTTAGTGATTGGAAGTTAAATCCGCATGAGTGTGCTGCAACTATGAGAAATCATAAGAGGAGGCAAAAGGAGTTCCATCTGAACCAAAAAGGACGGGTATAGAGGTAGAAATAGCCAGATGTTTTCCTTACTACTATTATGTTTCCATTGGGTATAATTTAATTTTGTAAATGGGTTAGAGTACCCCTTGTACTCTGCATTATAAAGTTGATTTTTGTTGATAAAAAAAAAATGTTAGTAGTGCTCTAAACTAGACTGAAGACATGTTGAAATTTTTGAAATGGATACAATTACCCGGTCGAGAAAAACATTCTCAATGTTTGAATTGTGGAACAATGCTAATTGAAGTTGTTCCTGCATCAAAATTATTTAGGTTAAATACCCTTTTTTGTCCCTCTACTATAGGAAAAAGCCCTTTTTTGGTCCCTATACCGAAAAAATTCCCTTTTTGGTCCTT